TTAAGAAAAAAATATCTAAATATATATATTTCAACTCTCGAAGTTGTGTTATTTAACACGGAGAGAGAGACAGGCTCCCTGTGGGTTAGCTGGGGCCGACAGGCTGCCTGGGGCAGGAGGGCCCCTCCGCTCCCCAGGGGTCTGGGGAGGTTGGGAACCGGGTTCTGGGCCTCTGGTGGTGTCTGGAGGGACTCAGCTGGCCCTCCTCCCCTCCTCCCTTTTCCCACAGCCCCATGGCAGCCCCCTGGCACCGAGGCAGGACCCAGATTTTCTCTCTCCCCCCATTGGCCAGCCAGGCCAGCCAAAGATTGGCTCCCCAATCAGAAAGTAGGGGGTGGGGTCAGTCTGTGTTTCCATTTTTTTTTTTTTTTTTTTTTTTTAGATTAAGGAGGGCTGCGGGGGGAGTATTAACGTGAATCACTTGTGTGTGTGTGACTTTGGAGGTGAGAAGTCGCGGGGGCGGGTGGGAGCAGCTGACGTCCCCCAGGGCCACGCCAGGAAATGCACTTTAGGGGGGACGTGCCTGTTCTCCACGCAGATCGGATCGTGTGTATGAGTGTGTCACGCGGACACAACGGCCCGGCTCCCTCCCTCCCTCTCCTCGCTCCGCAGAGAACAGAAACCCAGCGAATCTGTTTACATTCCCGAGATGCCAGGACAAACGGGGAGGCTGGCGCGTCCGTGCCCAGAGCCGGAGGCAGTCTCCCCAGCGGGGTCTGGGTTGGACGTTTCCTTCGCGGCCGCTCGCGCCCCGGTTCCCCGGAGGAGTCCGACCCGCCTCCCTGGCGGAGGGCGGGCCGCCAGCTCCGGGACGGACGGACGGACGGACGCTCGGCCAGACGGGCCCACGCTGCGGACCCACGGAGGGAGGCGGCTGGAGCGGGGCCGGGCCTGGCGGGCGCCGGGAGGACTCGCACCCGGCGGCGGGGCCGGGAAGGAGGGGCGCGGCGAGGTCGCCGTCCAAGAATGCGCCTCGGAACTTTGCTCGTACCTCCCCGCCTTCCCCAAAGCAAAAGCTATAATTTATAGTCCTTTTCGATGCGCGGCTTCTCCGTTTGAACTCGACATCCAGACTCCGCCGGAGGGGAGGGAGGAGCGGGACTGGGAGAGGCGGCCGGTCCCCGACGCCCCTGTCCCGGCCGGCGGTGAGCACGCTGCACCCCACGGACGCAGAACGGGAGCCCTGACCCTGCAGAACTCGACTCAAAAGCACAAACCTCCCCTCTCCCCTCCAAGACGGACCCCGCGGCCTCGCCGCCTCCCCGCCCTTAAAGGGCCAGCGGAGACCCGACTCGTCAGCGCCCATCGAGGCAGGGCCCAGAGGAGGCACAGACTCGGGCGAGCAGGGCAGGGCCGGGGCTGAGGGGGAGCTGCTCACTGGGGGACCGGGCAGCCCTCGCACTGGGTGTTCCCACCGCCTGCCTCAGCCTCTCCCCCCAGACTTCTCGCCTTTGGAGGGGGGGGTGAGAAGAGTGAACTGTGTGCCCTGGTGCTGTCTGTTCGGATGTGAAGAAGCCCCAGGATGGGGCTTTCTCTGCTCGCGTTTGTAAACTGGGATTTTAGACTTTGTGTAAGCAGCGCCCTGCGGGGACTGAGTGTCTGTTCTCAGATGAGACTTCCTCGGAGGAACCTGTCTGTACCGAGTGGACAGGAGCGGGGACCAGGTCCTACCAGGCTGCCGCCTGTCTGCCCTCCCTCTGCCCTCCCTCCTTCCTCTCCCTCCTCTTTCCTCCCTTCCTCCCGGCAGCCCGCGCTCCCTCCCACCCAGGCCAGCCTGGCTTTGCCCCCACCTTTGTCCCTCCGTCTGTCCGCTGCCGTGTGTCTCCCCCGCTGGCTCTGGGACGCTGACCTGGGGACGGGCCGGCAGGGGCGTGGCTGGGGCTGGTGGCCTGCAACCGCCCGGGGCTGGAGCGGGTCGGGTTTACTGAGTTCGGAGGTTCGTGCAAAGCTGGGATGGACCTCCGCCTCCGCTCGAGTGAAGCTTGTGTCTGTCTGTATCCAATGCCGCTTTTTACGTGTTTAAATATATACTTTGTAAATAGACATGTCTCCGCTTTATTCCTCTCCCCCTCCCCCTCACTGGAGCAGTCACACCCCGCCCCCGCCCCTCCTCTCTCAGTCCTCCCCCCCACTCTCCTCCCAGCACCCAGGGGATCCCATCTCCGAAGACCCTTCCCTAAAAAGATAAACTCCAACCAGGGGGAGAGAGAGCTGGGCTTGGAGGGAGTGGGCGGAGAGGTCCCGGCTTCCCTCGCCTACCCAGGGCGTCTCTCTGGGACCCAGCAGAACTCGGGGACCCCGGGAGGGTCCCCCCTTCCGGTGTCGGGTCTCCCCCGCCGAGTTCCACCCCAGGCCGCATGTTGCCGGTCCCCCCAACCCCCTCCGGGCCTGAGTTCCCTGCCCGGCGCTCCGGGGGCTCCGCCTGCTCCCAGTCCCGTGGCTGGACCTGCCCCCCAACCTCCAGCCTCGACTGCCCTCCCCGACGCAGGCCGCTGGCTATTGATTGAGGAATTGGATTCGCGGGGATTGCTAGGCAACTGGCAGCTCCGAGCGGCGCGGCGCGAACTGATGTGATTAGTGAACCCGGAGCTGCGGCTCCCGCGCGCCCAGCCTCCGGGCCGGCCTTCTGGAGGCGGGACCGGGGGCCGGGGGCCGGGGGCCGGGGACCGGATCGCGGGGTGCGGTTTGGGGCCTCCCTGGCCGCAGTGGAGCGAGTGGTGAACCCGCACAGGACAGCGCTCTCGGGACCCCCACAGGGGCCGCCCCGGGCCCCGCAGACCCCGCAGACGGCGCCCCGGACCAGCGCGGGCCCAGGAGCGGGGCGAGCGCGAGGGGAGGGCCGCGTCCCCTCTCGGCCCACAAGTCCGGGAGCTCCCCACCTCGCGCCCGGGTCTGTGCCCGCGGGGAGGCCCGGGGGCGGGAGCAGGTCACCCCGGAACCCGGCCCAGCGGCTCCGCCGGAACCCCCTCCCGCGCGGCGGCCCCTCCGCGGCTGCTCGGCCTCCACCGACCGCCGCTGGGGCCGGAGCGCCTCTCTCGGGGTCGGTTCCCCGGGCGGACCTCCAGGAAAGCGCCGGGAGTGGAGGCCCCGCCGCGGCCGCCTCCCCCCACCCCCACCCGACGGCCCTGCGCCCCAGGGCAGCCCCACAGCGCGGGGCCGGCGCGGCTTTCCCGTTCTCCGCTCCTTGGGTGCGCGGACCCCCATCGGGGCCCTGTGCGGTGCAGAGGGAGACCCCAGGCCCGCAGTCCCGCCAGCACTGGGGGGCTGGCACCCCGACTTCTTCTCACCGGGAAGTTCCCCGCCCAGAGGCGGCCCGGGACGGGGCCGGAGTGCGGGCCGGAGGGGCGCAGGCCCGTGTGCTCCCAGCGGCGCCCAGCCTCGGGCCTGGACCCCGGGGAGGGGCCGAGACTTGGAAAACGGGGGCGCTGGGGCGCCGGGGCGCGGTGGTGCCGTCGGCCCCGCGGGGCTCAGAGCGGAGCGGGGACTCGCCCCGCGCGCCCCGGCGCCTGCGGCTCCACCTGGCGGGACGCGTGCGCCCTCTAGAGGCGGAGGCCGCAGCCCATCGGGGCGGCCCCTGCCCTCCGGGTGGGAAGGGAGCAGGGCCGCCCCTCTCCCCGCCCCGGGGGCCAGCGCGCCCCTCCGCGGCCAGGTCTCCCAGCGCGCGGAGGGAGGGCACGCGGTGTCCAGCCGCCGGACCGTCTAGGAGCCTGGACTTGCGGGTCATGCCCGGCGCCTTCGGGGCTCCGGGCTCAGCCTCAGGCCGGGCGGGGCCCCTGGCGACCCAGCCCATCCTCCCGGGAGGCCATGGGTGAGGCCGTAAACCCAGCAGCGCACCCCCGGAACGAAGGCCGGGGTGGACCTTGGCTCGCACGGTGGTCTGTCCGAGGAGGCTCCTTATAAATGATCCCAGGAGTGGCTGGCCATCCGGGTGAGTGTGTGTGTGTGTGTGTGTGTGTGTGTGTGTGTGTAACACCGGCTCCCACTCTGCCAGTCCGCTCCTTCCCAGCCCCCCAGCTCCCCCTGCTCCAGCCCCCTCCCCCAACACAACCTGCTCCAGCCTCAGGAGGCGAACAAAAGCCAGCCAGCGCCTCCTGGGCAGAATCTGATTTTAAACCCTCCAGCTGGGGTGGCTTCCAGCTGCAGGGGGACCCCTGGACGAAAGCATCCAGGCCTCTGCCCCAAACCAGGGCACCCACAGGCAGGCCGCTCCCTTCCCTTCCAAGGGTGCCAGTTCTCCCGGAGGCGAGGTGTGTGGATAAACTGCTGAGGGTGCCCCGGGGAGAGGGTGCCCGGGAGAGGGTGCCCGGGACATTCTTCAGGAAGCAAGCCCTGAGGGAGCCTGGGTCAGGACTCACCCAACCAGAGCCTGCGGGTTTTGCGGCCCCGGAATGTACAGCTGTGTCCCTTTCAAGTGTTACCACGTGTGGTGGGCTCCCGGGGCAGCGTCCCTGGATGCGGGGAGGGGAGGAGGAGGGGGCTGTTCTGTGAGTTTATGGCGTTATCACAGCACCAGACACCAGCAGCAACCCTCACCCAGGACCCTGTTGTGCTCCCCATCCCCTGAGATGCCAAACCGCTGTGAAACGCTGGTGCAGGGACTCACTTCTATAATGAAGCCCACACCTTTGCTTACGAAAAATCTGTTTTTGGCCCTAACCGGTGTGGCTCAGTGGATAGAGCATCGGCCTGGGGACTGAAAGGTCCCAGGTTCGATTCCAGTCAAGGGCATGTACCTTGGTTGCAGGCATATCCCCAGTAGGTGGTGTGCAGGAGGCAGCTGATCGATGTTTCTCTCTCATCAATGTTTCTAATTCTCTCTCTTCCTTTCTGTAGATAATCAATAAAATGTATTTTAAAAATATTTTTTTGCACCCCAGAAAGGTGGCCACGCCTTCCTGAGCCCTGGATCCCCCTCCTATTCCGTCGTGTTGGAAGATTTTGCCTCAAGAACGGGAAAGTGAAGACACGTGTGTCCAGGCACCACTCATGACACTCAACAGGGTAATTAAAAAATTATTGATATACTAAGTGAAAAGGCAAAGGTCTGACACATTGGCTGTCTTCCCCCTGCTGAATAAATTAACATCCGTCTGAAAAAAACCCTACAACCTATGGCTAGTGTTGTTTCCCAAAAATACTAGAAAATGCACAGAATTTTCAGATGCATGTGAGCAGAAACCTGGCAATCGAGGCACTATTTTCCCCTAGCTCTCACTCTGCCCAGCAAACCCTGGTGGGCTTTCTGGGGGAGGTGTTCCCTTTAGCTGGTTGGTCCTGTTTGAATTTGGGGGCTGGGCTGCTGTCCTGTTTCAGCAAAGACCTAGGTTTCCCAGGGAAGTAACATACCCAGTTTTGTTCTCTTAAGAAAGCAATTAAAAGTGGTATACACAAACAATTTGGCTTTTTCTTTTAATTAACACAAATCAAGCCAGGGATTGGCACCGGCCCACAGCGCTGGTCTTTCCCCAAAGTTCCCCCCAATGAGACCTCTAGCGAGGCCCCAGCCCCCTGAAGTCAGGTCAGAGTTTTGAGTGTAACCAAAACAGGAGCCTTCTTTTTGGTACCAAAAATATAGGTATAAAAATATGCCAACCCCCTGGAGGAGGGCAGGCCGGCTTCTTCCTCCCACCCACTCCCAGAAGCCGAGACAGGACAGAACACATACAACGGCTCACTGCTGTGTGGCAGGGGCCCCTGCGGAACAAGGCAATGCCACGTTGGACGTGCGACCGGTGCCTAGATGCACCCACCCACCTACACACACACACAAGCAGCAAATAAAACAGGAGGGCTTTATTAACTGGTAAACATGGCGACCAGCTCAGAGCACCTGGGCCCAATCACACACACACAGTTAGGGTCACAGAACCCAGACACACACACCACCCAGCAAGGCAGAGGCTGGGAGCAAGGCGTTTACAGATCAAACTTTGGGATCGAGAGAGCTGGTAAAGGCACCGCGTTGGGACCGGAGGCCTGGCTGCCGGTGCCCGTGAGCTCAGAGGGGCGGCAGCAGGACCAGGTGGAGCAGCTGCAGAACTTGGAGGCATCAGCTCCTCTGGGGGGGAGGGTGAACCCCTGTGATCACCCCGGGGACAGGAGGGGGCTGCAGCCAGAGCCCCAGTCCATGCTGGGACTACTTCCCCCTGCCTGGGTGCACAGGGGGCAGGTCTCCCTTCACTGCCCACTTCCCAGATTCAGCCTGGCAGGTGGGGACTCCTACTAGTCTTTGGCTGCCAAGGCGGCACCATGCCCGCAGCTGCTGGTGGGGATGCCATGTTGGAGCCCCAGTATCCTGTGGAGACCCCTCAAGGGGTCCTGGACACAGGCTGTCCCCAAAGGCACTCGGTTCAGATTTGGCTACAACGAAGCCCTGTTCCTATTTGGCATGGAGGGCGGGGCTGGGAGTGGGGGAGGGGTGGAGGCTGCCATAATCAATCACAGAAATAAAACTGGAGTCCCCCAAGGCCCCGTTTTTGGCATTACAGGCCCAGTGGCACCCCAGCTGGCCCACCTCTCCCCTGCGCCCAGGACACCCATTGCATGGTGGGTGGGAATCCACACAGGGCAGCTCCCGCTGTGGCCCCCGGCCTCCGTCTGGCGGGCCACTCTGGTTCTGTCCAGCTTCCCAAACGCGCAGGCAGGCAGGCAGTGTCTCCACGGGGAAGGACACGGGCCCAGAGGTGGGGGGGATTGTCAGGGACGGTGGGCTTCTCCATGGGGAGACGTGGCAAGGCTCCCGCACAGCCAGCAGGCCCGGGCAGTGTGTGGGGCTGAGAGAACGACGGGTGGTCCTGGCACAGATGGCAGGAAGGCAGGCACCCTCTCCTCCTGCCCCCAAAACCCAGAGGCTGGCTTCTCAGGTGCAGCAGCTCAGGGACTAGCCCAGCGGAGCCGGCCCCCAGTTAGATGGCCCCAAACCAGCCTCTCAGGGTCCCTGCCTCTCCCACCCCCCAAGACCTGTCCTTTACATCAAGGCCACAGCCCTCAGCTATGAGGGGAGAGGACAGTGACAGAGAGATGACGCCCCCTCACCCTGACAGCTCAGGCACAGTTGGGGGGGAGGGGGTTCTGGCAGCAAGGCCCCTGCCCCACCCCATCTTGGTCTGCCTGCCTGGTGTGGTCCTCCAGGCCCTGCCCCCCACCAGCCACGCTGGCCCAGAAGCTCCTCCTGGAACATCGGTGCCCGGGGAAGCGGAGCCGTCAGCAGCCGGGAGGCGGTTCGGAGATTTGGCTCGAGCTGCAGGTGTGCCCAGACTTCCTGAGGCCGAAGGGAAGTGAAGGCCGAGGTAGGAACGGGGCGGGCGGGCCCCGGCAAGGCATCGAGGTACGGCCGGCCCGTCTGCCCGCCCCGGAGCGGCCTGGCGTGGCCACCACGGGAGCCAGGCCGGAGGCGGCGGCGGCGGCGGCCACGGTCAGTAGTGCCGCAGGCTGAAGAAGCCCACGCTGGTGGGGGACTCCTTCACGGTGACGGTGACGAGGTTGGCGGTCACGTCCGTGACGAAGACGTGCTCGATGAGGCTGCGGGTGGGCTTCCAGTCCTGGCTGGTCTGCACCGACAAGGACAGGTTCTGCTTGGCGCCGGGCAGTGAGGCCGGGTCCGGGTCCGGGTCCGAGTCGGAGCTGCTGTTCTCCTCGCCGGTGCTCATCTCGGACAGCGCGGCCGCTTTCCCCAGGGCCCCGGGCCCCTCCTGCCCGCCGGGGGCCGCGCCGCCCTTGCCGCAGTCCCTCTTCCCCGCCGGGGCGGGCACAGCAGCGGCCCGGGCGGCCAGCTTCTCGCCCTTGCCGGTGTCAGCCAGCATGCCGGCCCCGCTGCCCCCGGTGGCGCCAGCCCCGGCGCCCTTCCCAGTGCCGGGCACCGTGGCAGGGACACCCTTGGCGGCCGCGGCGTGGCGGGCGCCCATGCCCACCCCCGGCATGCCGTTCTTGACGCTCTGTAAGTCCAAGACCTGGAGGCTCAGCTCCTGGGTGGGCGCAGGCTGGGGGCCCAGGCAACCGGCAGGGGCCTTGCTGCCGCTGTGGGCGTGGGGGGCCCCCCCGGCCCCTCCTTTCGGCTCCATCGCCCCACTGCCAGGGGCCTTTGGGAGTTTGCTTCCCGGGGGGCTGAACCCCAGCTCGCCCTTCTGCGTCCTCACCTTGAGGTCCAGCCCGAGGCCACACTTGCTGGCGGCCTGGGCCTTGAGTGCCAGCCGGCCGGCGGCCTGGGCCTGGCTCTGGCTCACGCGGTTCATGTAGTGCACGATGGAGCTCTGCCAGCTGATGCCGCCGCGGCTGGGGCTGCCGGCCATGCCCTTCATCAGGCTGGCCAGGCTCTCGGGGGTGGCCAGGCTGCTGGGGCCGCCGCAGGCCTCCTTGGCGTGGGCCTTCAGGGCCGCCAGGCCGGCCACGGGGGCGCTGAGCGGAGGCGGCAGCTTGCCGGCGGGCGCCCCCAGGTCCTTCCTGGCGGTCTTGAGCACCCGGGCCAGGTTCACGGGCCTCCGGGCCGCCTTCTGCTCGGGGGGCAGCGGCTTGCGGCCGCGCTTCTTCCGGACGGGGTCCTTCAGCTCGGGCTTGGCCACCAGGATCTGCGCCTTCTTCTGCGGCACCGGGTGCGTCTCCCGGCCGCGGGGGCCCCTCTCGGCGTCCAGGTCGCTGTCCCCCTCTTCGTCGGAGGACGAGGAGGACGACGTGGAGGAGGAGGAGGAGCTGCTGGACTTGCACTTGGAGGAGGTGTCCGGCTCCTGCAGAGACCGGGGGAGATGTCGCCCTTCGAGGCCTGGTCCCGGGGCCCAGAACACACACGCCCACCCCCTAGGGGTCTCAGACACGCCGAGGCCAGCACCTCCTGTCGCTTCCAGACTACAGGGGGTTGGGGGTGGGAGTGGGGGCAGCGAGTTAAAAGCAGGAAAAAGGTGCTGGCCTGGCTCAGTGGACAGAGTGTTGGCCTAAGGACAGAAGGGCCCTGGGTTCCATTCTGGTCAAGGGCCTGTACCTGGTTGTGATTCAATCCCCGGCCCCAGTCAGGCCAGTGCAGGAAGCAACCAATCGATGCATCTCTCTCTCTGTCTCCCCACCTCCCTTCCACTTCCTCTAAAAATCAGTGGAAAAAAATAAAGCTCAGCAGCCTGGGCTCACTGCTACCCCGCGGAGGCCGGGAGGCGGTGGGAGGCCAGAGACACCCTCCGCCAAAGCCCTCGCCCTCCCGCCTGCGCCTGCGCCTGCACCCGCCCCAGTGGGAGGGAGCAGCCAGAGCAGGCCTCCGCCACCCACCTTGAGCTTGGAGTGGCGGCTGCAGGAGGACATCACCGTGAGCTTCCTCGGCCGGCCCCGGGGCCGCTTGCCTTTCTTCCGGTTCTGAACCTCCTTCTCCTGCTCCCTGGAGAGAATCACTCATCAGGGTCACGGAACCCCATGGCAGCAAACACCCAGCCACTCCAGCCAGCTGAGGCGGCTCATCAGTGTGACGGGAGTGAGAGGTCCAGCCCCCTGCAGCACCGTGACGTCTGCACGCCCCCCCACTTCACCAGCGTCAGCCAAAGCCAAGTCAGAACGCCAAGCCAACCTGGCACGCGAGCAGGTTTGGTCTCTCCAGACTCCACTCACAGCATGCCTGCCCCAGCCTCCCTGCAGGCAGAATGGTCCGGAGAATTCCAGAAGGCCATGAGGGGCCGTTGTGGTCACATGGTCCAATCCCCTCCCTTCAAACTGAAGTCCAGGCCGAGTGAGGGCCTGCCCCAGTACCCCCACCCTCACCCCGCTCAGGGCCACAGTGACAAGATGCCTCCCAGCTGAGAGAGAGAGAGAGAGAGAGAGAGAGAGAGAGAGGGAGAGAGGGAGAGAGGGAGAGGGAGAGGGAGAAGGAGAGAGAGAGAGAGAGAGAGAGGGAACACGAACGTGCGCTTGTGTTTCAGGCTCCCCCCGCCTCCGGAAGAGGCTGTCTGGAGGGGTTTCCCGGTAACTGGAACGGGCCGACGGCACCTCACTGGGGCCTGGCACGTGGCCCTTCCAGAATCCAGGGAGCACCCGACGAGCGGGCACTGAGGCAGCCGACGGTCTCCTGCGTCACCTCCCACGGCGGGTGCTCTTCCTCCAGCGGGACCGCCCCCATTTCCAGAGGAAGAGCACCCGCAGCCCAGGATGTGACCGGACCGCCCACTTTACCTCTCGGGCCTCCACAGCCCATCTCCTGGGACCCTGCCCGCCCAGCCCGGTCCCCTCGGCCGGACCACAAGGAGGGCAGCCGGGGCCACGGGCTGTCAGTGGACACTCCCTCTTGGCTCTGGGACCCGAGTCACGTTCGGCTGGACCTCAGCAGGGACAGCTGTCTCCATCCACTCAGGGCCTCCTGCCCAGTGCCCACACCTGTCCTGTCCAGTGTGCTCCCAACAGCACCTCTGGACCCTCCTGCCGGTGGGGGTGGCCACCTCAGCAGCTCAAGGCCTCTCTAGCCCAGGGCTCCTAAACAAACCCGGAAATGGCACCGGACCACTGAAGCACACTCAGCCCAGACCGCCAGGGGCTGCGGCCAGCACGCTCGCTCAGGGCCACGCACTCAGCACCGTGCTCAGTAGTGTGTTCTGTGGCCCCGAGAAAAAGAAATGTCCTAGGCAGGCACCCCCGCCGCCCACCATGGGGTGTGCTCTGCCCCCCCTCTGCTCCAGGCACCCTGGTGCAGGGGGAGGCCGGGTCTGCACTGCTATAGCAAGCCCTGCGTCCTGGCCTCCATCAGCCCTGTGTGCAAACTACTCAACAGAAAAGGCAAAGCTTTTCCTGAAGGAACCGAGACCGTTCATCCCGGCAGGTCTGGCTCCCAGCAGCCAGCAGCACCCTGACTCGATGGGCTCCTTAGGGGGGAGACGCAGCTGTTTGGGGGAAAGTCTGCTTCACCTTTCCCACCAGCCACGGGCTGCTGTGGGACCCCTGGAGGACCAGCAGCGCCTCGCCCCCTGCCCCCCCCCCTCCTCACTTCTTCTGGAAGGCCAGGAGCAGCCGCGGGTCCAGGATGTTCTCCTCGGGCTCCCAGCTGTTGTGCCTGGAAAAGCAGAGAGCAGGTCGTGGTCACGCAGCAGCCCCTTCAGAAAGCAGCCAGTCCCTGCGGCCGGCAGGCCCCGGAGGACCCCAAGAAGGTCCCACTGTGTCCAGGGGGCGCTCCTGGAAACGGGGTTCGGAGGCCAGTACCTCCCCTTGAAGCTCCAGGGGAAACAGCTGCTCCACCCGCCATGAACACCCGCCCCAGAGGGCTGGTCCCCCCACCGGGAGGAAATCAAACGCCGGAGAAAGGGAAGTCGACGGAGGAAGCCCCCAAACCCTGGCCCGGAGCCCGAGCGGGGAGGGGAGGGGAGGCTGTCCAGAGGCGGGGGGCTGGGGGCGCAGCCCCAAGACTATAAAAAACGTGGCTGGCGCCCAAGGAAGCGCGGGCCAGGCACCGGAGAGGAGAGCAAAGGCCCGGGGCTCCGGGGATGAGGGGGAGCCGGGCCCGCGGGAGCGACTGTAAACAGAGCCCCCTCGGGGAGCGCCAAGTCCCCTCCCTCCCGTAAAAAAAAAAAAGGAAGCCCGCGCTCATCAATAGGCAGCTCGGGTTACAGCGGGGCGACGGCAGGAGGGGGCTCCGGTCCGCGGGAGGCGGAGGGGCAGGGGCGGCAGCAACAAATGGGCGGGAGCCCGCGCGGCGCGGAGGACGCGGGCCGGGCTCCGGGGACGGCGGCGGGGGCGCGGGGCTGGGCCGCGACCCCAGGGGGAGCCGCCGGCGCCGCGCGCCCCGGGTTTGTAAACAAAGAGCCGCCCCTCGCGGCCCGGGCGCCCCTCCCCGCAGCCGGAGGAGCGGCGGGACCCGCGAACTTCCTTCCCGCGCTGCGCAGACCCTCCCCCCGCCCGCCAGCTCCGCGGCGCCGGGGTCCTCCCCTCCCCGGGCCGGGGCCCGCGGGAAGCGGCCTCGCAGGCCGGGGACTCACTTGGACGACCAGCCGCGCCACTTGACCAGGTACTCCAGCTTGCCCTGCGGGAGAGAGGGGCGCGTGAGCGGGCGGCGGCGGCGGGCGGGCGGGGGGCGCGGGCCGCGCGGGGCCGCCGGGCCGCACGCACCTTGCGGAGCCGCTTGCTCAGGATGCACTCGGCGGCGAAGACCTGCTCGCCCACGCTGCTCAGCTCCTCCATGCTGCCGCGCCCGCGCGTCCCTCCGCGGCGCCGCCGCTCCCGCACCGCCGCTCGCCGCGCGCCCGCCGCCGCCGCACACAAAGCGCCGCCCCCGCCCCCGCGGGCCCGCCCCGCGCACGCGCAGCGCCGCCCGCCCCCCACGGCGCCGCGCCCCGCCCCCCACGGCGCGCCCGCCCCGAGGGCGGGCCCACCCGGCGCCGGCCAATGAGCGCGCGGGGGCGGGGCGGGCGCGCGTTGTCCGCGGGCGCTCGGCCTCGTGCCCGCGGCTGGGGCCGCGCGGGCGCCGGGCCGCTCGGGGCTGGGCTGGCCGGACCCCTCGCGCGGGAATCCCGGGGCGCGGCCGGGCCCCGCCCTCTGTTGGGGGGTGAGGACGGGGGAGGGGGCGGGGGAGGGGGGCGCCGCGGGACTTCGGACCCGGGAAGTCGACCGCTGAGTCCTGCTTGGCCCCCGGGACGCGCCCGGCCGCCTCCTGACCGGGTTTTCCGGGAAAAGCGCCATTGTTCCGGCCCGAAGCGGGAAGTTCCTGCGCCCGCCTGCGAGGGGCGCTGCTGCGGGCGCCTTTTGGAACGGGGGCTCCGGGGCTCGGCACTCGTCCCGCTTGGCGCGGGAGCACAGGGGCCGCGGGGGGGGCGGGGGCGGGAGCGGGAGGGAATGGGGGCCAAAGTGCCGGCGGGAGCAGGGGAGCTGCGGGAACCGAGCCGCCGCTGCCCCGAAGGCGGGAGAGGAGGTGCACCCGCCGAGGGCGCGGGCTGCTGAGCCCCGCCGAGGGGAGCCGAGCCCCGCGGTGCAGGGCGCGCGTGGGAGGGCGGGGGGCGCCTTCATTCGTTCCGCGGTTGTGAGGTGCATGTGGGACTGGGAGCGCGGCTTCGGGCGGCGGCCGTGACCCAGGACCGAGTCACCGTCGGGCCGCCAGGATTTGGAAATGTGCAGCTTTTGGGCCAGTTGCCCGCCGCAGAGAGGAGATTGGACCGCGTTTCCCCAGTGGGGTGGCCTGGGGCCCCTCTTGGGGTCCTCGGTGGAGGCGACCCTTTTACTTCCTGCTGATGAGATCCCTATTCCGTGAGCAAACCCCCCTGAAGCCAGGCAGCTTTTGCATCAGAGGAAGCCAAACGCCGAATGGAGATCAACGCTAGCTGTTCTCCCCCCCACTCCCCCCATCAATACCGTGCAACTCAGTGGAAATTCACTTTCTGATTTTGTGTCTTCCTCCAACGCAGCTGCACAGTCCTCTCTGCTGAGCGAGTAAAAAACTCGTTTCCCGTGGCCGGACCTGTCCCCATAGGGTTCGGTCATTAGAGCCGGTTTGTAGAAGGCCCTGCGGGAGGGATGCGTTTGGTTAACCGGAAAGCCTGGGGCGCAGCAGGAGGACACGGGGCGCTGTTCTATTCCGACATGGTCTCCAGTCCATTGGGTTAAAGAGCTCCCCTTCCACCGCTGCCTGGAAAGACCCGGGTGACCTTTGCAAACCCCGGTGTGGCTTGGGAAGGGGCTGGGGAGAAGGGAGGTTCGCTTGGGGTGGGACCCCGGTTTGGGGGTGAAACCTGCCCCCTGGGGTGGAGAGAGCTCCCAGCTCCACAGGACGCGGGCGAGGCCAGAGCATCCTCGCTGTTAAGGGGCGAAGGGCTGGGCAGCTGGGACTCCTGGGGGCTGGGGCGGGGGGTGGGGAGGACTGCTGAGGTTTGCCTGGCAGCTTCCTCTTGGGGACATGGATCCTGGACAATCGTCGTTTTTAAAGAAAATAAAGCTTTATAAAGGGAACTCTTTTTTCCCCCTAAGAAATTGGTTTTTCTGGGAGTTGGTCCTAACCCACTTGGGGGTGCAGGTCAGTTTCTTGGGAGGCGTAGCCGCTCCTCGCGGCTCCCGTTCCTGGGGTCCGACACCTGCGCACTGCGGGCCGTGGGGTGCTGTTTCCTGTGACACAGCCGGCTGCACGGTCCGCCGGCCAGCCTGCCTTCGCCTGCCACTCGCGGCATCGGGCCAACCACCAGCACTCACTGTGGCTGAAATAATGTTTAGGTGACTTCTTTGGAGAAACAGATGCGCCGGTTTCAGTGGAGTGAGATGACCTGATAAAGGGGGCGATGCCTTAGAACAAACTGGAGCCCAGCGGTGGCGGCGTGACTGGCTCAGGGCGCAGTCCCTGGCAGGGTGTGTGGGAGGCAGCCCTCTGATGTTTCTCTTTCATCAATGTCTCACCCCGTCTGCCGCCACATCAGTTCACCTTTAAATAGTTACATACCAGCCGAAACCGGTTTGGCTCAGTGGTAGAGCATCCGTCTGCCGACTGAAAGGTCCCGGGTTCGATTCCGGTCAAGGGCATGTACCTTGGTTGCGGGCACATCCCCAGAAGGGGGTGTGCAAGAGGCAGCTGGTTGATGTTTCTCTCTCATCGACGTTTCTAACTCTCCCTCTCCCTTCCTCTCTGTAAAAAATCAATAAAATACATTTAAAAAAATAAAATAAATAGTTACATACCAGACAGGACCGGTTTATAGGAACGCAAGGATACACCCTAAACATACTTTAAGCAGCCAGAGTGCAGTCACTCAGTGACCTGGAACAGGAACGGTCCGCCCTCACCTCCAGCCGTGCTCTGTCACACATGCCAGCATTTAAAAATGCACAGACACGGTTCCGAGTCCGGCTACACACTCCGCCCGATGCCGCTCCCCTCGCAAATGGCAGGTCATCCCGTCTGAATAAGCGTGTTCATGCTGCTCGAGCGACTGAAACTCGAACATACGACCGGGGCTGCGGCTGGGACTCTCCAGACCCCGCTGTCCGGCCAGAGCCGTGGCCTCCGGACGGGGCATTGCAGCAGTGTGGGCCTCGGCTGCCCCTCCTGACTCCCCTGGCCGGGCCGGGAAGGGAGCCGGCCCAGGGGCCACGGGTCAGTCCCGGAGGCAGTCTGCACGCGGGCCCTGGGAGGCCGAGTGTGCCTTCCAGAAGCTTCTGGGGCACCACATGCCCGGAAGGGAGCGGAGGCAGCCAGGCGTGTGGGCAGCAGCCACAGGCTCCTGCCCAGCCTCCTGGGTCCGTTTGTCAGGCCCTCAGACACCCGCACGGCTCTTCTCTCACCGTTTTTCTTCAATGCAACTTGTTCTTTTGTTGTTCTTTAAAAGTATGTTTTTTATTGGTTTCAGAGGGTTAGGAGAGGGAGGGAGAGAGAGAAACATCCTTGAGAGAGTCATTGATCGGCCGCCTCCTGCGCGCCCCCCCTGGGGACTGCGCTCTTACCCCGGGCCTGTGCGTTGACTGGGAATGGGACCGTGACCTCCTGGTTCAGAGGCCAGCCCTGAACCACTGAGCCACACTGGCCAGGCTTTGACTTAACTGTAAACTAACAGAAGCAAACGGACGTGCTCGCACCTGCCCAAACCTAAGGGTGGTGGTGGGCACAGACACAATGCAGAGGATGCGTCTGCTCCCTGAGGGCTCTGGTCCTGGGGCCCGCGGCTGCACCGGGCAGCGCTCAAGGCCGGGGGTCTGGGACCAGAGACTCTGCTGGAGAAACAGGCATGGGGGGCGGTGATAGAGACGGCGGGGGGGTTCCTTCCTCACCAGGTCCCCTCCCCGTGGGCCTCCCGCCCTGGGCTCAGGGCGTTCACTGCTCTCCTGGCACCAGGTAGAGGCAGGTGCACGGGCCCCGACGCACAGGCGAGGCCTGGAGCCGTCGGCAGCCTGGGAGGCCGCAGGCCCGAGCCCCTTAGCACGCAGCCCGAAGCTGCTCGGGTCCCTCGTTCCCGCCCGGGCGTCAGCCAACCCATGGGGCTTCGGGGGTCACTGTGACGTGTGGGACGGACCAGGTTCTCTCTCTGTTTAAAAAGCCAATCGAGAGGCGAGGCCTGGTGGGCTCTTGTTTTGACGGTGGAAGGCTGGGTGCCTTTTGGGGACCTGGGCCGTTTTGGCTGCTCCGGCACCGGCGAGGGCTCCCGGCACCTGGGAGGCGATGACTTGGAGACATGGCCCTGCCCTGCGACCAGGTGAGGACAGAGGCCCGTCCTCTGGCGGGAGCCGGCGGGCAGGCCGGGCACCGGGCAGTGGGCGCTTCCAGGAAACCTTGGGGAGGGCCGGGGAGCCCTGTGGGGGGAGGATGGGGGGATCCAGAGACCAGAAGGAGCTCCCAGAGGCCCAGGTGGGGAGGAGGGTGTCACAGGTGAGCGGGCAGGTCCTGGGCAGCCCCTTGTAGGGGGACAGGGGGACAGAAGCTGGTCTGACACAGAGCCCACGCCTTGATGTGGCCCAGCATCCGGGGTCGGGTGACGAGGGCTGGACAGTGTCCCTTTGGGTCCTGGCCTGGCCCCCCACCCCCTCGGAGACAGGCAGTGCCCACTCTTCCTGAGCCCCCAGAGCTGTGTCCCCCCCCCCCCCCCACACGTGCTCACACGCACGTCTCCCTTCCCGCCCACAGGGCGCTACTGGCCGCTTTTTAACGGAGCCACGTGGCTTGGGGGTTCTCGCTCCCCATCTTGTCGCAGGAGCCCTCTCGCCCCCCCAGCCCCTTTCTTTTCAAGGTGAGGCGCACACGTCACCCCCTGCCCCTGGAGGTCCACCCAGCGCCCCCACTCCCCGGAGTGAATGGGTGCCCGCGTCTGGGGTCGTTCCAAGGCGCTGGGAGTTTATTCCACACGGGGCCCGGCGGCTTCGGGGGAAGGCGCACCCTCGCTGGCCCTGGCGTGTCCTTTGTCCCACGGGCACAGTGCCCCTGCGGGACCGCGCCCGGAGCAGCAGCCGGCCAGCCCCGTGAGGACCAGAGGGGCCACGCCCCCGCTGCCTGCGGCCCCTCGGGGCTGGAGCCCGCGGTTGGTGGTCCAGGACAGGGACCTTCTGGGGCGGGGTTCCTGCGCGCCCTCACGCGGCCGCAGACGGAGCTCCACTCTGGAAGGCTTTGGTGGAGGGAGGAGGGAGGAGGGAGGAGGGAGGAGGGAGGGGCGGGCCGGGCCGTGGACCGAGCGGGCCTGGGCAGGGGCCGGACTGCCAGCGCGTGAGGACGGAGTGAGGACGGAGCGTGGCCGGGCTGTGGGGACGTGGAGGCCAAGGCGCGCTGTCTCTGGCCGGCTGGGGAGACAGGTCCGCGTGTCCGTCCTCAC